TGGTTATGGGATGTGTTTCTATGGGATGTGTTTCCATGGGTTAGGGGATGTATCTCTATGGGTTATGGGATGTATCTCTATGGATAATGGGATGTGTTTCTATGGGATGTATTTCTATGGGTTATGGGATGTATCTCTACGGGTTATGGGATGTATCTCTATGGGTCATGGGATGTGTTTCTATGGGTTATGGGATGTATCTCTATGGGTTATGGGATGTGTTTCTATGGGATGTGTTTCTATGGGTTATGGGATGTGTTTCTATGGGACATGGGATGTATCTCTATGGGCTATGGGATGTGTTTCTATGGGATGTGTTTCTATGGGTTATGGGATGTATCTCTATGGGTTATGGGATGTGTTTCTATGGGATGTGTTTCTATGGGTTATGGGATGTATCTCTATGGGTTATGGGATGTGTTTCTATGGGTTATGGGATGTATCTCTATGAGTTATGGGATGTATCTCTATGGGTTATGGGATGTGTTTCTATGGGTTATGGGATGTGTTTCTATGGGTTATGGGATGTATCTCTATGGGCTATGGGATGTGTTTCTAGGGGATGTGTTTCTAGGGGATGTGTTTCTATGGGTTATGGGATGTATCTCTATGGGTTATGGGATGTATCTCTATGGGTTATGGGATGTGTTTCTATGGGTTATGGGATGTGTTTCTATGGGTTATGGGATGTATCTCTATGGGCTATGGGATGTGTTTCTATGGGATGTGTTTCTATGGGTTATGGGATGTGTTTCTATGGGCTATGGGATGTGTTTCTATGGGCTATGGGATGTATCTCTATGGGTTATGGGATGTGTTTCTATGGGTTATGGGATGTATCTCTATGAGTTATGGGACGTATCTCTATGGGTTATGGGATATATCTCTATGGGTTATGGGATGTGTTTCTATGTGTTATGGGATGTATCTCTATGAGTTATGGGATGTATCTCTATGGGTTATGGGATGTGTTTCTATGGGTTATGGGATGTATCTCTATGGGTTATGGGATGTGTTTCTATGGGTTATGGGATGTATCTCTATGAGTTATGGGATGTATCTCTATGGGTTATGGGATGTGTTTCTATGGGCTATGGGATGTATCTCTATGGGTTATGGGATGTGTTTCTATGGGTTATGGGATGTATCTCTATGAGTTATGGGATGTATCTCTATGGGTTATGGGATGTGTTTCTATGGGCTATGGGATGTATCTCTATGGGTTATGGGATGTGTTTCTATGGGATGTGTTTCTATGGGCTATGGGCCCCGGTTCCACCTCATCGAAGCCGAGCTCCAGCGCAGGGACCCCGGCGGCCGCAGTGAAGGGGAAGGCTCCGCTCTCGAGGGGCAGCGGCCGGATCCTGTCCCCCTCCCCCCGAACACAGACACGTGGGGACCCTGACGTCACTGAGCCCCGCCCCGCAGCACGGAGGGGGCGTGCCCTCCCCAGGCCCCCGCCCCCTCACTCACACGTCACTCTCCCAGCCCCGCCCCGGCCGCGTCACCTGCTCCAGGAGGCTCTTCCCGCCCTCGTTGGGGCTTTCCACCTGCAATGGGGGGGGAGGGGGGTCAGAGGGGCCCTTCCCCCTCCCCCCACCTCCCGCCGCCCCTCCCCCACCTGGCTGAGCGCGCTCTCGATGAGGTTCACCAGGGTCGGGCTGGTTTTGGCCACCAAGCGGTCAGCACCTGGGGGGGTGGGGGGTGTCACTGAGGGTCAAGGGGGGGGTCACGGGGGGTCACGGGGGGTCACGGGGGGAGGGGCTCACCCAGCACCGCCTGGTCCAGGCTGATGTAAGCGGCGGCTTTGGTGTGCAGGAGGTCGGGGTACCCCTGGGGGGGCACGGGGGTTACAGGGGGGGTCATGGGGGGGGTTATGGGGGGAGTCATGGGGGGGGGAGCTCTCACCTCGAGCCATTCGGTGGCCCCCAAGTGCCCGAATTCGCCCCCATCCCAACTGATGAAGAGCAGCGAGCGGCGGAGCTGGAACCCTGGGGGGGCCATGGGGTGGGCACCCACGGTCAGGGGGGCACCCATTGGGGGTGAATGGGTCACGGGGGGCAACCATTAGTCGGGGGGGGCACCCATTGAAGGTGAATGGGTCACGGGGGGCACCCATGGGTCATGGGGGGGCACCCATTGAGGGTGAATGGGTGAAGGGGAGCACCCATGGGTCACAGGGGGGCAACCATTGGGGGTGAATGGGTCATGGGAACACACATGGGTCAATGGGGGGGCACCCATTGAGGGTGAATGGGTCACAGGGGGCACCCATGGGTCATGGGGGGGCACCCATTGAGGGTGAATGGGTGAAGGGGAGCACCCATGGGTCACAGGGGGGCAACCATTGGGGGTGAATGGGTCATGGGGACACACATGGGTCATGGGGGGGGGGCACCCATGGGTGAAGGGACCCCAGGGGGGAGCCAGCTCAAAGCATCCGGTGGCTTTTAAACCACAGAGAAATGGGGGTCAAGCCCCGCCTTTTCCCCCCCATTGGTCCCGCCCCTCGTTGGCCCCGCCCCTCACCGTCCCGCCCAATGGCAGCGAAGAACCGGGCCAGCTCCAGCAGCAGCGCGGTGCCCACCCCCGACGCCGCCGCCCCGGGGCCCAGCGAATCACGTTGCGCTCCCACGATGATGTAACAGTCTGGGGAGGAGTGACGGCGTCAGCAAAGCCACGCCCCCCCCCGCAACAAACCACGCCCCCTCAAATCTCTGCAGGCTCCTCCTCCTATAGCCGCGCTCCTTCGCCACCGCACCCGCTCCCCATTGGTCACGCCCCCTTTAGCCCCGTCCCCCTCCGTTTGCCCCGCCCCTCACCGGGCTCCAGCCGCCCCTCCAGGGCCCCGAAGACGCTCGTGAGGGTCCCGGGCTCGGTCCCCGCGGCCACGCTGAGCCGGATCCGCCGCCCCCCCGGGCCCGGCCGGTACCAAAGCCCCCGCGAGGGCCCCCCCAGCGCGCGGGGGCCCGGGGGCCCCCCAGAACCCTGCAATGGGGGAGGGAGGGGTTGGAATGTGAGCACCCCCATAGGGGTTACAGGGATCTCCCCCAGTGGGGGACCCCGGGGTGATGGGGGGGGATACCCACCGGAGGAGCCGCGCGGCCGTGTTGGCGCTGATGGGGTGCGCGGGGATGGGGGGGACCCCCGGGGGGGCCCGGGGGGAGCTCGGCCGGTGAAGGAGGGGAAACCTCGGCTGTAGGGGTCACCCGAGCCCTCCTGGAGCTGCGGGGTTGGGTCAGAACCGGGGTTACCCCCCACAGCACCCCAATAGTGCAGATCCCCCCCATAGACCCACATCAAACCCAACCCCCCCAACACCCCAAACCTCCCCAGACCCCCCCAAATCCACCCCCCCACCCCACTGACACCCCCCCACTGCCCCCCCACTCACATGCACAGTCACAGCCGTGTCACCCCCCAAGCCAGGGTCCCCGCCAGGCCCGGCCGTGTCCTGGGGGTCCGGGTACAGCAGCACCCCCAGAGCCCCTGCCCCCGCCGCTGCTGCCACCTGGGGGGACACGGATGGGGGGACTCTGGTACCTTCCCGTGCCCCCCGTGGATCCTCTGACACCCATAAGGAGCCCACATATAGGCACCCCCATAGGGATCCCCCCCATAAGTATCCCCATAGGCACTCCCAGTAGAGAACCTCATAGGTACCTCCCCATGGGTACCCCTATAGGCACCCCCATAGACACCCCCCCATAGGTACCCACATAGGCACCCCTACAGGTACCCGCATAGGGACCTCCCCATAGGCACCCCCATAGGGTTCACCCCATAGCCCCCCCCATTGCCCACCTTGGCGGCGGGGGGGCCGCGCCCGAGCCGCACCAGGAGCAGGTTCCCACGGGGGGGCACCCCCCGGGCCCGCAGCAGCGCCAGGTCCTGGGGGCGCCCGTAATGCCCATAGACCAGCCCCCCCTGCAGAGGGTTAGAGGTCAGCGGTCAGCGGGGGGTCAGAGGTGAGGGTTAGGGTCCGGGGGGCGGGTCAGGGGTCACCGTGGCGTTGCCAGGGGCGCTCCATGCACAAAAGGCCTCCGGGTCCAAGCGGAGCCGCTCGAGCTCCCGGCCCCCCCTGTCCACCCACTGCAGTGACGCTGACCCCCTGTGGGGTCAGAGGTCAGGGGTCAGAGGTCAGACACCCATGAACCCTCCCCGACCCACCACCCCCATCCCCCATGACCCCGGTGAACTTTGACCTGCTGGGAGCCCCCACCCTTTGACCTCCCTTTGACCCCCTGTGACATCTGTGACCCCAGACCCTTCCCCACAAGACCCCTGACCCCTCGATTCCTGTGACCCTGTGACCCCTCCGAGCCCCTCCCCCTTCTCCCCCAGCTCCTGTGACCCCTTGACCGTGACCCCGCCACCCCCCCCATGACCCCCTGACCTCTGTGACCCCAACCCATAGCCCTCCATGACCCCTGTGACCTCCTCCTCCCTGAGACCCCGAGTGATCCCCATGACCCTTGACCCCACCCATGCCCCCGGACCCCGGTACCGTGTGGGGAGGGGGAGGGGCTGTGGGCGGCTCCATGCCCGGCTCAGCCCCGCCCCCTCCATGGCGTCCAGCACCGCCCCCGCCAGGCCCCGCCCCCGCTCCGACCCCGCCCCGTGTGGCCCCGCGCTGACCTCCCTACAGGGTCATCGGGGTCACGCCGGGGTCAAAGGTCACAAGGGGGGGGCAGGGGGTCCGGTGGGGGGGGCACGCACCTCACCCAGGCCTCGATGCGCTCCTCCAGCAGGTGGCGCTGCAGCAGCTCCCGCAGGCGTGGCCACGGGGGCGGGGCCCCGGCGATAACCACGCCCCCTGGGTCCTCCCCGGGGGCGGGGCCAGGAGGGGACGGCCCCACCCAAGCCCCTCCCCTGCAGGGGGCGTGGCCAAGAGCGGCCACCAGGAGCCCTGCGGGAGGGGGCTGGGCCTCATGGGGAGGAAATGGGGGGAGCAGTGGGATGCAATGGGGTGAGGGGATAATGGGGTGCAATGGATTGCAATGCAGTTCAGTGGGGTGCAATGGAGTGCTATGGGGTGCACTGGGGTGCAGTGTGTTGCAATGGGGTTCAATGGGGTGCAATGGGGTTTCAGGGGTCCCTACCTGCCAGGAAGGCGGAGGCGGAGCCCAGAGCCAACGTCACGTGGGGGTGGAGCCTGCCTCGGGGGCGGGGCCTAGGCAGCCGCACGATTGCGGCTCCTGCCCCCCCCTCCCCTTCCTCTTCCTCTTCTTCATCCTGGTGTCGAGAATACAACACCGCCCCTCCCCCCAGGGGCTGCGATGATGTCACCGGTTACGTCATCACCCGGGGGGGGTGTGTGTCATGGGACCACTTGTTTGGGGGGTGCCCTTACCCGTCTCTGGAAGCAGCGCCTCAGGGTCTCCATTGGTTCGGGGGCGCCCTGGGGGGGTTCTTCCGTTTGTCCCCCTCCTCCTCCATGGGGTGGACTTTGCTCCCGGTCTCTCTTCCCCGCCCCCCAACCCCCTCCCGGTGTCTCCCCCATCCCCATATCCCCCCCAACCCCTTTAATTTCCCTTTGACCACCCCAAACTCCCCTGCACCCCCCCCCAGGCCCCCCCTTTCCGCGCTCACCCCTCGGCCGCTCGTCCTGCTCTGCTCCCGCCCTCCCCGGCAGGCGCGAAAAAGGGGCGTGGCCAGAGGCTGGAAGGGACATGGTCTGCGCGAGAACGGGCGTGGCTTCGGATGGGGGAATTGAATGGAGGGGGCGTGGCCTCGTCAGGAAGCAGTGAATGGCTGCACCTGTATGGGGGGGCGTGGCTTCAGGAAGGAGGGCGTGGCTTCGCGGGAGGCCCTGCCCTGGCGCCACCCGGTCTGGCTGCACCTTATCTGACCCCGGTCACTGACCACGTGGGGGTGGGATGGATTTGGAGGGTCCCAAAGGCAATGGGGGGGAGTCCATAGGCAATGGGGGGCTCCCAAAGGCAATGGGGGGGTCCCAAAGGAAATGGGAGGGTTCCAAAGGGAAGGGAGGGACCTGAAGGCAGTGGGTGGGTCCCAAAGGCAATAAAGGAGTTCCAAAGGTAATGAGGGGGTCCCAAAGGCAATAGGGGGTCTCCCAAAGGCAATGAGGGGGGGGTCCAAAGGCAATGTGGGCGTGCCAAAGGCAATGGGGGGATCCCATGTGTGCTGGGGGGGTGAAGGTTGTTGTGAATGAGCTGAGATCAATGAATGAGCTCAGATAAATACTCTCGTGTTCGCATTAAGTTACGGGGGTCTCACACACACACGGGGGGGGGCTCGGACTCAGACATCGCTGCTGTGGGCCGCGTCTCCCCTGAGTGACAGCTCCCGGTGTCCATGGGGTAGCCGGGGGGGGGGGAGGCTGTCAGTCACCTGCCGGCACGTCCAACGTGCCGGGGGGAGGCTCCGCAGGGAACAGGGTGGGGGGGTGATGGATAACTGCCTGCCATTGTCAATGGGTGATTGGCTGCCGCCTGTCATCCGCTGATGGGTGATTGGCTGCTTTCTCCCATGTTGATGGGTGATTGGCTGCTGTCAGGCATGTGCTGATAGATGATTGGCCGTCCTCTCCCACGTTGATGGGTGATTGGCTGCTGTCAGGCATGTGCTGATGGATGATTGGCTGCTGTCTGCCATGCCAATGGCTGATTGGCTGCTGTCGGTCACTGCCGACAGGCGTCCATGAGGAAGAGCCGGACCTTCCCATGGAGGAAGCTGCTGTGAACAGCCAGGAGCCGGCCCAGGCTCCGGACCTGCCACTGCCGGGGGGGGGCGCTTGAGGGGGTGACCTGGGGGGCGGAAGGAACATGATGAGGTCAGGGACCCTCCATTACCCACCCCATAGCAAGACATGGAGCCCCCCATAGCGGGACATAGACCCGCCCATAGCAGGACATGGACCCCCCATAGCAGGACATGGAACCCCCCATAGCAGGACATGGATCTCCCCATAGCAGGACATGGGTCTCCCCATAGCAGGACATGGACTCCCCCCTTAGCAGGACATGGATCTCCCCCCATAGCAGGACATGGATCTCCCCCATAGCAGGACATGGATCTCCCCATAGCAGGACATGAACTCCCCCCTTAGCAGGACATGGATCTCCCCCCATAGCAGGACATGGATCTCCCCCCATAGCAGGACATGGATCTCCCCATAGCAGGACATGAACTCCCCCCTTAGCAGGACATGGATCTCCCCCCATAGCAGGACATGGATCTCCCCCATAGCAGGACATGGATCTCCCCCATAGCAGGACATGGATCTCCCCATAGCAGGACATGAACTCCCCCCTTAGCAGGACATGGATCTCCCCCCATAGCAGGACATGGATCTCCCCCCATAGCAGGACATGGATCTCCCCCCATAGCAGGACATGGACCCCCCCCCATAGCAGGACATGGACTCCCCCATAGGCCCTCCCGTACCTGCGCAGTCATCTCCCGCAGCAGCCGCGCCAGGCTCCGCGCGGCGCTGTTGGCGCGCTCCAGCAGGGGGCGCAGGCGCGGGTCCGGCAGCAGCTCCCGCGCGCGCTGCACCGCGGCCTCGAGCGTGGCCACGCCCCCGCGCACGTCCTGGGCGCGCGCCGCGGCCTGCGGGGGGCGGGGTCACAGCGGGGTCACGGGGGGGGGAAGCCCCCATCACCCCCAGTTTATCCCATTGCCCCCCATTGTATCCCCAGTTCCCACCATTTTCCCCTATTTTCCCATGCTGTTTCCCTTCATTTCCCGCCATTTTTCCCCATTTCCCACCATTTTTCCCTGGTCCCCCATGCTTTCCCTATTTCTTCCCATGTGCCCCTATTCCCCCCATGCTTCTCCCTATTCCCCCATTTTCCCCCATATTTTCCCTATATCCTTCACTTTCCCAGATTTCCCATTTGCCACCATTTTTTTCCCAATTAATCCCATGTTTTCCCCATTTCCCCCATGCTTTCCCTATTTCCCTCCATGATTCCCTATTTCCTCCCATGCTTTTCCCTATTCCCCCGTTATCCCTATTTTCCCCATTTTTCCCCCTATTTCATCATTTTTTCCTTCTTTTCCTCCATTTCCCCCACAATTTTTTCCCCTTTTTTCCCCATGCTTTTCCTTATTTCCTCCATTTTCCCCATTTTTCTGCACTTACCCCCATTTCCCGCTATGTTTCCCTATTTCCCCACATTTTTCCCCTTTCCCGATATTTTTCCCCATCTCCCCCACATTTTTCCCCACATTTTCCCCCCTTCCCATCACCTCCAGCCGTGGCCATTCATTGAAGTTCACTCCGGGGTAGGGCACAGGCACCGCCTCGGGCAGCTCACAGTGTGGTCCACAGCTGGCCTGGGGGGGCAGGCACAGGGATGCTGCCACCACCGGCACCGGCATCCCCAGGCCCCCCCACCTTGTCCCCCACGACCCCCGCGCCCCCCCCGCTGTTTCCCCCCTCACCAGCGCCCTCTCTGCGTCGCGCGCCTCCAGGATGAACCATTCCAGCACGCGGGGGTCGCAGAGTGGGGGGGGCCCCTCGGGGCGCCCGGGGACCCCCAACAGCAGCAGCAGCAGCAGCGAGCAGAGCCCTGGGGGGGGGGGGGGTGAGGGACACCCCCAAACACCTGGGTTAAAACCCATTGCTATCAATGAACCCAGGGTCTTGGGGTCCCCAGAAACATGGGTGCCCCTCCACTTGTAACCCCCTAAAATTCCACCCCCCCCAATAGGGACCCCCCCCTTAAAGCTGAGACCCCCCCAAAACAGGGACCCCCCCATGCACTTGGAATGCCCCAAACACCCAGGTCCCCCCCTTGCAATGAATGAACCCAGCCCTTGGGGTCCCCACACATGTGGGTGCCACCCATATACCCGAGACCCCCCCCCCCCCCAAGACCCATATCCCCCATTGGTATCAATGAACCCAGGCTCTTGGGGTCCCCACACACGTGGGTGCTCCCCCACTTGTAACACCTTAGGACTGCACCCCCAGAACAGGTACTCCCTCTTATACCTGAGACCCCCCCAAAACAGGGACACTGCCCCATACGCTTGGAACCTCCCAAACAGCCAGGACCCCTAATGCAATGAATGAACCCAGCCCTTGGGCTCCCTATACACGTGGGTACCCCCCAGAATAAGCTCCCCCCCCACTGCTATGAATGAACCCAGGGTCTTGGGTGCCCCCCCGAAGTGACCTCCTGGGACCCCCCCCAACACCCACATCCCCCATTGCTATGAATGAATCCAGGGTCCTGGGTGCCCCCCCCACCCCCTTCACCCGGGTCCCCCCCATTGCAATGAATGGGTGCCCCTGCACTCACCCGCGGCCCCCATGGCTGCTGCTCATGGCACGGGGGGGTCCCTGGGTGGCCCCGGCAGCGGCGGCCGCGTCCCCCGGCCCCGGCCCCCGGTTAATGTTTGATCCGAGGGGCCGCGGGGCCGGAAGCGCCCTTTGGGGGGGGGTTTTCCCGTCCGGGCCCCCCCCCCTCCGGGCCCGGCCATCGAGGAAAAGGCCGCGCTGGCCCCAGCACGTCTGCGCTGGCCACGGGCCACCCCCGGCCCCGGCCCCGGCGCCGCGGTGGCGGCAATGGGGGGGGGGGGGGACACCGGGCGGGAGGGGAGAGGGGAAAAGGAATGGGAATAGGGAAAGGGATGGGAATGGGGAAAGGGATGGGAATGGGGACACAAAGGCAAGGATAGGGACATGGGGCTGGGGGTAATGTGGGGGGATATGGGAACGGGATTGTGGGGAGTGAATGGGGATGGAGACAGGGATTAACATGGGAATTGGGACAGGGATGGGAATAAAGGGGGACAGCAGGACTGGGATGAGGACACATGGACAGACCCCAGAACAGGGATGGGAATGGGGAAAGGGATGGGAATAGGGACAAGGCAGGTAACATGGGGGGGACGTGGGAATGGGATTGTGAGGAGTGAATAGGGATGGAGATATGGATGGGGTTTAACATGGGAATGGGGACAGGGATGGCAATGAAGGGGAACACCAGGATGGGGATGAGGACACAGGTGAATAGCCTAGGACAGAGATGGGGAGATGAGGATGGGGGTTAACATGGGAATGGGGACACGGATGAGGACCTGGGACTGAAGGGGGACACCAGGACAGGGATGAGGACACAGGGACACAGCCCAGGATGGGGCCCCGGGGATGGCCCAAGGATGTGGGATGAGACGTGGGCACAGACAAGGAATGGGATAGGGTGTGGGGTAGGGACCCAGAGCGACGGGATGGGGATGAGGCAGCCCCACGTGGCCTTGGGGACACCCGTGCTGGTACCGGGGTGACACGGGGACAGCCGGGCCCAACCACACGTGTGTGCAAGGGGGGGTGCCCGTGTCCCCCCCCAGCACCGGAAGCACCCAAACAATGGGGCCAACGTCACCGGGTCCCAATGCCGGGGGGAAGGGATGTCCCCCGGTGGAGACCCCCAGCCACGGGCCGGGGGGGGGGGGGGGGGCGCCGGACCTGGGCCCCTGCCAGGCCCCTACGTGCGGAACCACACGGCCCGGCCACGGCTCCGGCCCCGCGGCGCCAGCGGGGACAAAGGGCGGCGGGGGGGGGGGGTGGCCGGGGACACGGGGACAGCGGCAGGGCCAGGACCCCCCCACAACAGGGGGGCAGTGGTGGAGTCCGTCCCCGTCCCCGTCCGTCCGTCCCCCTCCCCAACGCTGACGCCGGGTCCATGGGGGGTTTCCTGCCCCAAAGGTCACCAATGACGCGGAGGAAGCCCGGGGTCCCCCCCCCCCCACCCGGGCCCCAAACAAACTCCGCCCCCCCTTAGGCTCCGCCCCCAAAGTGTCACCGTTGCCACCACCAGGTTTATTGGGGGGGTCCTTGTGTGTTTGTGTCCCTCCCCAATGCAAGTCCACTGTGGGGGGGGGCATTCAGGGCTTGGTGGCACCTTGGTGACCATGGAATGAGTTCACGGTGGTGGCCTCGGGTCCTGGTGGGTTTCGGCGTCCCCGGCTCATTGGTGGCTCTGTGGTGACATCCGGGTGTCCCCATGTCCCCGTGCTGCCATCTCCGTGGCTCCCGGTGTCCCGTTGCTGATCCAGCTCCCGGTGTCCCCATGTCCTCGGGTCCTGCATAGCCCTGGAGCCTCCCGCTGCGGGTGCCCCATAGCACTCATGGGTGCTGCTCAGGCACAGGGCGCTTCCCTGCACACCCGGATGTGAATGGCCGAGTTATGGCGGGGCCGCGGGGCTGCCCCCTCCTCATCCTCATCTTCCTCCTCCTCCTCCTCCTCGTGGCTCTGGGGGGGCCCTCGGCGGCGCCGGGGCGGCCCGGGGGGGGGCAGGGTGACGGAGGAGGTGCTGGCGTGGAGCCGGAGGGCGCCGGGGGCGGCCGCCTGCAGCTGCAGGGCCAGGTTGATGGCGCGGGGCACGGCCAGGCCCAGCCCGTGCAGGCGCAGCTCGGAGGGGGGGGCCGCTGCCGAACCCCCCCCCGCCGGCGCCAGGAGGCGCTGGCAGCGCCGCAGCTGGGCCCGGAAGTCGGTTCTGGCCGTCACGAACACGTCCGTGGGGGGGGCCGAGGAAGAGGAGGAGGAGGAGGGGGGGGGGATGAAGGGGGGACGCGGGGCCAGGCCTCGGCGGCGGCGGCAACGGGAAGGGGGGGGGTCAACCCCCCGCGGGGCCGGGGAGCCCCCCCCCGGAGCTGCTGTAGGTCCTGAGGACATTCTATGGGGGGACATGGGGGGGTCAGGGGCACATCCAGGCACCCCGGACCCACATAAGCTACCCATAGCCCCACACAGACCCTGGGTGCCCCATAGGGACTATCCAGAGCCCTCCTCGAGCGCCACAGACAGCCCACAACCCCCATCCCAAGCCCCATAGACCTGCCAAAACGCTCCATAGACCCCTTTAGAGTTCCCCCAGCCAAGCCCTACAGACTCCATAGAACTCCCCCGGCCCCCATAGACCACTCCGGACACCCCATAACCCCTGTCCCAAGATCCACAGCCCCATAGCCCCCCCCATTGACCCCTTTACATCCCCTCCAGTCCCACAGACACCCGTGGACCCCTCCCAGGCCCCTATAGACCCCCATAACCCCTGTCCCAAGCCCCATAGATCCCCGCAGGCTCCTATAGGCTCCCATAACCCCTGTGCCAAGCCCCATAGATCCCCCGGACCCCGATAGGCCCCCACGCCACACTCCGCTCCCGCCCCCCGCCAGCACCTCGCCGCGTCCCCGCCGCCGGCTCACTTCCGCTTCCGGTAGCTTGGACCCGCCCCCTCCCTTCGGACGGCTTCGCCCATTGGCGGTGCTGCACGCCACGTGACCGCGGGAGCCGCCATCTTGGAACCTGACAAATACAAGCCCCCGTTGCCATGGTGACGACGGAACAGCCACCTCCCCCCCGTTTTCTCCCGGGCTGTTTCTATGGAAACCTGATGTGTCTCCCCTCCCTCCCCTAGCCTGTTTCCATGGCGACGAGTACAGCCCCTTCCTCTTTAAACCCGTTGCCATGGAGACCCCTTATTCACAACAAAAACGGCGCCTGCCCCTTTAAAGCATTGTCTGCGGAGGCGGCCAATCAGCGAGCGCGGTGCACGGCGGCCGCCCATTGGCTGCGCGCCGCTGGCCCCGCCTACCGCGGCCGGCGGGCGCTGTCCAGTGCTGAACGCGCGGCCGCCGCCATGAGCGGGGGGGTCTACGGCGGCGGTAGGGGGCGACACGGCGCGGGAGGGGGTGTGGCCTCGGGGAGGGGGCGTGGCGTAGAAGGAGGGGGCGTGGCCGGCGGGGTTGGGGGTGGGGGGCGCCGTGTTACCGGATGGGGGGGGACGGGGGGTCCCGGTGTCACCGTGATTCCCCCCCCCCCATCCCAGATGAGGTCGGGGCCCTGGTGTTCGACATCGGCTCCTTCTCGGTGCGCGCTGGGTACGCCGGGGAGGACTGCCCCAAGGTGAGTGCCATTGTATGGCATCACGTGTCATTGTATGTCATCACATGTCACTGTATGTCATCACGTCATTGTATGTCTTCACATGTCCTGCCATCGCATGTTATTGTATGTCATCATGTGTTATCGCATGTCACTGTATGCCATCACATGTCATTGCATGTCATTAAATGTCCTGTCATCACATGTCATTCTGTGTCATCATGTGTCATTGCATGTCATCACATGTCATTGTATGCCATCATATGTCATCGCATGTCATTGTATGTCATCAGGTCATTGTATGCCATCACTATCATTCTGTGTCATCGCATGTCATTATATGTCATCACATGTCCTGCCAGCACATGTCATTGTATGCCATCACATGTCATTGTATGCCATCACATGTCCTGTCATGTCATTATATGCCATCACATGTCACTGTATGTCATCACATGTCATCACAACATTGCCTGTTCCCCCCCCCCTTCCCCCCCAACACCCCCAGTGCCTCCATGGTGGCGTCCCCAAAACCATCACCATAGGCCAATGTCCCCATCATGGTGCCATCCCCATGGCCATGGTTTCCCTGAGGTCACCACCCTCATGCCACGTCCATGGGGTGGCTACAGGCAGACTTCCCCACCACCGTGGGGCTGCTGTCCCCTGAGGAGGTGGCCCTGGAGCTGGATGGGGACAAGGACAAGAAGGGGGGCAAGGTCTATTACATCGACACCAACGCGCTGCACGTGGCCCGCGAGGGCATGGAGGTGCTCTCGCCCCTCAAGAATGGCATGAGTGAGTGGGGACCCCCTCTAGGGCCATGGGGAACCACCATGGGGTTGGGGGTCACCCAATGGAAGCCACCATGGGGTTGGGGTCACGCAACAGAAGCAACCATGGGGGTGAGGGTCACCCAATAGAAGCCACCATGGGGTTGGGGTCACCCAACGTAAGCCATCATGGGTTTGGGGTCACCCAATGGAAGCTGCCATGGTGTCGGGGCCACTCAATGGAAGCCACCATGGGGTTGGTGTCACCCAATGGAAGCCACCATGGGGTTGGGGTCACTCAATGGAAGCCACCATGGGGTTGTGGGTGGTCACCCAATGGAAGCCACCATGGGGTTGGGGTCACCCAACGGAAGCCACCATGGGGTTGGGGTCACCCAATGGAAGCCACTATAGGGTTGGAGGTCACCCAATGGAAGCCCCCATAGGGGTGGGGTCACCCAAAGGAAGCCACCATGGAGTTGAGGTCACCCAATGGAAGCCACCATGGAGTTGAGGTCACCCAAGGGAAGCCACCATGGGGTTGAGGTCACCCAATGGAAGCCACCGTGGGGCTGGGGTCACCCAATGGAAGCCCTCATGGGGCTGGGGTCGCCCCATGTGTCCCCATGCCCCCAGTCGAGGACTGGGAGTGCTTCCAGGCCATCCTGGACCACACCTATGGGAAACACGTCAAGTCGGAGCCGGGTCTCCACCCCGTCCTCATGTCCGAGGCCCCGGTAGGTGCACCCCTCCCCGCCTCGGTGCCAGTGCCCCCCACATCCCCCCACATGTCCCATCGGGCTCCCCCCCGTCCCCGCAGTGGAACACTCGTGCCAAGAGGGAGAAGCTGACGGAGCTGATGTTTGAGCACTACAACATCCCGGCCTTCTTCCTC